CTGTGGGCGGCAGGTCGTTGAATGTCTCAGTACAATGCACGACGTCATGTATTCGATCCTGTAGCTAGTTGTTGCACATTCTGACCGCATGATTATTATTTGTAGCTATACCGGCCCGGGGTGGACAGCGGTCCAACCTTGCCACATTCCAAAGCAGGACACCCATATAAAATGTATGCAAAGGCAACGGTCTCCCATGTAAATGTATAATTATAAATGTGTTGGTCCAAAGCAGGACGGTTGGACAGCTAGCCTGATCCGACAGATATTCTTGACTCTCATCCGATGGTCTCCTCTGATCTACTTGTGCACTGTATTCACTGTAGGCCCTTAGGAAAGGATTGTGATTTGTCAACTCGACTTGGTACTTCAGAAAAAAGATGGAAGGCACCCTCGAGCTATGAGGCAAGCTTGCCAATCATCTAAAGTTTTGTTGTTATCATCAGTCCCTAAAAGCACCACTTGGCAGCGTGCCACCTACTTGGTCGATGCCACTGGGTATGTACATGTGCATGTATTAGGGAGAGGCCCTCCCCACCTTGGCTTGGGCCAGTTGGGGTAGGCTGTGTAGAATGTTCCGGTCCGAGTCCCGAGTGAGCAGTGGATGTTCAAGTGCGTGTCATTTCGTTTGCAGGTGCTTGCCAGCGCGTTTCCATTTCCCGTAAGAGACAGCCCCGCACGACATGGCAGCTGGGTCAAAGACTTGAAGTGCCAGGAGATTAGTAGATCTACAGTGTACAACCCCCCCCCCCCCCTCCCCTGGAGACTGTTGCTCATGTTGTTGCAATTCCATCTTTTCACCACTTGAAATCATGATAATGACAATGAGGAATCCGGCCACAAAGCCTGCACAAATACATAATAATTATGAATAATAAACTGAGGAATCCGGCCACAAAGCCTGCACAAATACATATGAATAATAGACTAAGGAATCCGGCCACAAAGCCTGCACAAATAGTCAAATACATATGAATAATAAACTTTCTAAAATAAATACAAGTACTAAACAGGAATAGCTGCCTCAGAAACCGCTAGCGTGGCGGGAGGCTCTTGTTGATCAATTCTTTGTTGATATTTTCCAAAATATTGTTCTAGACCCTCTAGGGCACACACTATACAGGACCTTAGGAGGGCAAAGGAAATGCGGCACCTTGTAATGGCTGGTTGTAGGTTGCGCTGGTTTTATCTGTTGTTCTCCTATACTTTTTTTTTTGCCTTTTTAGGGGTAAAGAATTTATTTTCTGACTATGCGCTGGTTCTCAGAAGTACTGCGACTGCGGCCATATTAATTTTGTAGATGAAGTTGGGTGTCCCAACGTGGAACAAACGCTTCCAGCCGAACCTGACACTTGACTGACTCACGACTGTCATACGGACAGTAACACAGGAGCAGCCCCAATGCACCTTCCACTCCGCCAAACGTTCAAGAACGCATCACTCCCCCTGCTCTATACACACTGTGTGGAGGAGTCACAACATCGCACACGCACTGACAGTAGCTGTTGGTATGAGTTCATGTACAAGTCATGCTAGTAGATCTACACATAATGACGTAATCACGACTCGAGCACAGAGATTCTGTTGCTGCACCTACTAAGCGGGCACTTTTGCTAGTCTTTGCCAAAAAGGAGACATGGGCTACAGTATGAATGTACATGTATATGTATTACAGAACAACAAGGACAATCAAGGCTTGTTTTGATTGTCCTTGTTGTTCTGCTCTGTATTATGCTCTGCCTCCGCGGTGTTGAGCACTGTCAGTACACTGGCCCGGGTACATCCACCAGTGTATATGTATTATAAGTATTGCTGTTCTTAGTATATAACTCTCTAAACTGCTCTTTGCAGGAACTGGTTACAAACAGATTTAATATAGGCTTGTGCCAAAAAATACTCCATGTCTGATGTCAAATTTTGCTCATGCTCATAGTGGAAAGCCTCTGGTCATATACTCGGTAGCTGCTTTGGCCAGGGCTTGCAGCGTGAAGCTAGTGGCAATATCACGTATGTGATATGGCGGTCGATCGCTACCAGCCGGCGGATTGGTCAGCTCCAGAACAGCGCCGCGGAGATTCGGGTCATTGGTTCGCGCGGGATCGAACTGCTGCGCGGTGACCCACTTCAGGCCAGTGGTGGCCAGCTCTAGCCATTCCGCGTCGCCGTCGCTGGCGTGCAGGTCCATCCAGAGAAGCGCGGCGCACGACACAGCGCTCGTCACCTGGCCGAACGTGCTCGTCGTGAAGTCGACGGCCGTCTGCCGGATCAGCCCGCCGTCCAGCCGGCTGGCGTTCGCGTACCACCGCCCAGAACGCTGGGCCACGTTCAAGTAGCTGACGTTCTTCGTGTCGTTGTAGGCGGCCAAGAAGGGTCTTCCCCACCAGAATGCCTGTCTAGGGTGCAACCAGCCACCGTGTGACTTATTCGAATCGCATGGAATGAAATCGACCCAGTTCCCGACCGGTCGTTCGTCATTGTACAATCGCTCGATGACATCATAGAATGCCTCGCGAGCGGTCGCCGATTTAGTTTGCTTGTACAGCTCTAGATAAGTCCAGTCGTCCGCTAGTGGTCGCCCGCGCCGTCTTTCGTCACGTAGTTCCACCCGCCTTCGTGCAGGAACGACTGGTTCTGCCGGTCCCACAGGTCATAGAGTAGGCCATGGCCGCGCATCCAAGCATTGTCCACCGACCAGGTGACTGCAGCGTTCGCTGCCTGCGCGTACGTCGCATTCCCTGTCGCCGCAGCCAAGTCCCACAGGCCACGCATGCCTTCCAGCATCGTGCTTGATTGAGGCGCATTCGCAGAGTTCTCGTACGAGAGAATCATGCCATTCTCCTTGTCAGAGGATCTGACTTGTTTGTCTAGGATAAACCCTGCGCACAGTTCAGCACCGTCCATCCAGGCGTCGATTCTCGATTTCCACATTTCTGCTGTCAAACCTGCGAGCTGGTCTCTGTTCGTGGCTTCCAGCGCGTCCAAAACGAGCTGTCCGACTCTGCTTGCCGCCACCAGACCGCGTATAGCTTGTCCACCGTGCCAAACCGGGCCGTACGTGTCCCATGTCTTCGATCCAGCATCATATTCGTTCCGAAACGCGCCTCTCCAATTGGAATAGTTGTACTTTCGAGAATTTTTCAGATCCACCGGCAAGGACTCGGTTTTCACCTGCGAAACATTCACCAGCCAATCCGCTCCATTTGTGATATGAATCAGCAAGGCTTCCAGGCCACCCAGCGTCGATACAAGACTGTGATACGCTCCTTTCGCATCGAGTTCCAATTTTCCGCTCCTCCCGTTGGCAGTGGCTTCGCTGGGTCGGACATGAGTCGTTTGAATGAAAAGGAGCAAGCAGATTGTGGTTGGAATCGAGGCTCTGCAGACCATCGTTGCAGGAAGATGCCGGTGATGATATCCTTGTCCTATGGTCCGCTTTTCTTTGGTCTAGAGTAACGCAACACTTCGGCTCGGTACTGAAAGAACTACTTCGAAGTGTTTCCAACAATTCGACGTCGAAGTACTGTCAAACCTCCCCTGCTTTGTAGAGCCTGGACTTCAGATTCTTCAAAATCTCCTTTTCAGGCTTTTGTGCCTAGATCAGAGCCAAGGGCTAGGGATGAATGAAATGACTCACTGACATGATCTCTAGTATGATCTCGTAGACCGACTGACAGGGCAACCGCGCGGTAGGGACTCTCTATCTCTCCTTGTACTTTATGTTGTAGTTGTAGATCAAAAATGCAGTCTGTGCACTCACCACCTTGTCCACTCTTGCCACCCCCCACCCCCTCTCCGGGCCCCAACATCATTTCCCATGCAACATGGCCATGACTCGGACACAGCGAGGAGTAAAGCAGCCATCTCCGCTTATACACAGCTTTCAGGGAAATTCATGTACATGTACAGTAAAACCTGTCTAGGACGACCGCTCAAGAGACCTTCAAAACGTGGTCTCTGTTACCAGGTAGTCTCCTTATCCAGGGTCATTTGACTGCAAATAGCTTCCCTTGGTCCTGGCTGCAGTGGTCTTCTTGGACAGGTGGTCGCCTTGACAGGTTTTACTGTACTAGCATGGAGTCACAATTCTGGATAATGAGCTAGGTTCAAATAGACAAGCAACTACCAGTATTCGTTTTCAGGTTAAGAAGAAGGCATTTGGAAAGCGAAGTGCTGCCGATCACCATGCTAACGCACACGTGGACATAATCATCACACGCACGCACAAACACAACGTATGCAAACATGCCACATAGCTAATAGCCTACTATGTACTTGACAAGTACGCTTTTTCCAAGACCTGAGATCTTGAAGAAGGGCTGAGGCTTCCTGCAGCTTCATCTGTGAAACAACGGAATTCGGGTGGACACACCCATTCCCATAGCGCTGCACATCCGAATCAGTTCTTGTTCTTCATACCTGACGATAGCCAAGTGCCGAAACGTTCTACAGTCATGTAACAACGGAACTGGTTCGGATGTGCAGCGCTATGGGAATGGGTATGTCCATCCAAATTCCTTTCATGAGATCTTGAACTTGAACACATCACCACACCAGCAGCGCTACCCCACTCTGGCTCTGGCAATATACCAGACATACAATGTTTCAGGCAAGAGAGCAGTGCTCCAAGGATCCAGTTTGCCATGCATTTTGCTGGTTGAACAAGACTAAACAACGTGCGATGTCGGCTGGAGAGCGCAGTTGCCACTGTTCTGGTCTGGTGGTTAATGTAAACAACACTATCCAGAAAGAACAGTCGATTGCTACTCAGAAGAATAAAATGTACAATTATCATGTCCCATGCTGACCATAGAGTAACCATGGTGATACTCAGTCATTCAAACATCATCGTTGCCAGGTGCGTGCGCCGGTGCCCTTCAAGGGGGGTTCCGGGGGCCTCCCCGTGAAAATTTTTCAAAAAAGGAAGCAAAATCCTGCATTTTGAGCGAAAAAAGGGGGGTTCCGGGCACCCATAAACCCATATCGGGCACGCGCCTGGTTGCTAAGGTTTGAGTCCAAGATTAATACTAGAATACAAGCCCTATGAGTTTCTCTAGCCAATTGGGCACCAAAAATATTAATGCAAAGCAGAATAAAAGAAAATATGGGACCAAGCGTAAATGTTACCTCTATATCTCTAGTGATGTGATAGCTACTATTATGATCAAGGTGCAGCACACGGGTCATCTAAGTCAAGTGTATACACAGCACATATTCATGAAAAGCATCAGCAGTTATGCATAGGCGTGAAGAGAATCAGCTAGTGTGCAACGGCATGCTTGTCAAGCTCTAAGCAACCTAAGGCAACTTTGCTGAGAGAATCGAAACTCAGCAGTCAGATTTCCTTCAGAGTACGGAGTGTGGAGTGGTGAAAGGAGGAACGGAGCGGCAAAGGGACTAGAACGTTGCTGCTGCGCTGCTGCACCGCGACTTTACAACTCTCTACAAAGCATCTAAACTGAAGGTGTAATCTCCAGGGTTATAGCCAGAAGAAAGGTGAATGGGATCATCGGACCCAAAATTTTGGGATTTTACCGCCATTTTGTGTTGTGCTACTACATGATGATAGTGTACTTATCATGCATATGAAAAGGTAGAAATCACACTCTGAAGGGTGGCACATTCATTTTGAAAGAGGGGGGAGGGGGGTCAAAAAGTGAATGGGGCGGTCAAAAAGTAAAGGAGGGTGGTCAGAAAGTGAATGGGGGAGGGGGGGGGGGGGCGGTCAAAAAGTGAATGGGGGAGGGGGGGGGGGGGGGGTCAAAAAGTGAATGGGGGAGGGGGGGGTCAAAAAGTGAACGGGGGAGGGGGGGGGGTCAAAAAGTGAAGGAGGGCGCAGCGTCCCGCTATGTCGCTTTGGCGAGAACCCTGAACTCTACACAAAGCATTACAACTGGTGACGCAAGCGCATAGCCTCTGAAAAATCAGGTCACAGTGCAGGTGTATTGGGCTGAGGTGTAGGAGCACTGGGTATAAGCTGCAGGTGCAGATTTGTATTTGTATTCATGGATTCTCCACGGGCCTTAGCCTACATCGAGGGAGTCTCCTTACAGATACGTACCTATATCACTGCTGAACTGATACCAGAGTTATTCTGCATCAGAGGGCAATGGGATCTCTTCGGCAACTCTCTTGCCCGATGCCACAGCGCCGTCCAGATAGCCTCTCCAAACACATGAGGTCTCAGTGCCGGCCCAGTGAATTCTGCCAGGTAACAGCAATCATACGTACACATACCACACACACACAGATACGTATATGCACATAATATATACACACACAGATACACACACAGATACACGAAAGGCACAACGGGGGTTTACAGATTTGTCGCAACTCGGAGTTTCTTGCTCAATGCAATCATCAGGCAACTCCTTACACACACACAGATATCTATATGCACGTAATACACACACACACACACACACACACACACACACACACACACACACACACACACAGATATGTATGCACATCCACCGGTCGGTGTGGGTCCACGACCGGGAGGGCCTAGTCCAATCACTACCAGTGGATGTGTCACTGTGCTGCGAAGGAAAACCACCCAAACGCGTGTGGATCCATACAAAAACTGACTTCTGACGTCATCACTTTCAAGCCCTATTATGCCCAATACGTACACTGATGGTCATGCAAAGAATTACAAATTGGAATTGTAGCATTTTGACTCGACCATCGTGGCCTAAACTCCGGCGAATGTCTTGCATTTTTCGGTACGAGACCACAGCACTGCTGACTGCGGACTTACCTTCCGAACGGCTTTATAGCCCGCTTGGAATAGTTTGTTAGCGCTCCGGTTATTGAAAAGCTCACCGGACACCCACCGGCCCAGGGTTCCTTGTGCCAGTCCTACCAACAGAGCACGCGCATAGGAAGACAACACAACTTCAGACCGGTCCTCAAAATCAACAATTGAAGAGTCTAGATGCAAAACATGACAGGTTCAGTTCAGCACTTTTCGGACAAAAGGCCAAACAGAATTCGCTTTTTTAATTTTTTTTACAAGATACACAACTCCCAGGCAGGCACATGGGGCTAGCGTGGGGCTAGCAAAGCTTGAGATAGTGCTGGTGGGTCCTGCCATGCTCAACCGACCAGAGGTCTCGGCATCTTCACATGGCAGGCGCACATACCGTATTATCTCCATCACAAGCGCAGTCTCTTGTAGAAGCCCAGTCTCCATTATAAGCGCACTCCAAGAAGGCTTCGAAGATATACAAGCGCAGTCTCCAATTTAAGCGCAAGGCTTACAATGGAGAACTGTATGGATCATGTCCATGCATGTTTGACGTCCACAGTAGTCACATACCCACATGTTATGGCGCAAGTCTGTGATCCCCGAGATAAACCTGTACAGACTCAGTGTACCAGGGGGTGCAAAACTGCATTCACGTTGTGCCTGGTGGGAAATGTTGTGCTACTGGTAATTCAAAGTATGAGAAAAAAATACTTGTACCGGATGGTTGAAAAATTACAAGCCCAGTCTCAAAATTACAAGCCCAGTCTCTAATATAAGCCCAGGGTCAGGACTGGTTGAAAAAATATAAGCTCAGGGCTTATCATGGAGTTAATACGGTATGTGGGTGTCAGTTTAGAAGTGACATGTATTCTAGTCAGCTTTTGAATGTAACTTTTTGCCGGAAGGTACAATGTACTGTTGAGATACTGAATTCAAATAAATCAATACCATACCATACCATACCAAGGTGCATCTAGACATTATGATCGCACTGAGCTCAAAATCTCAAGGTCTCAAAAATTGTCGCTTGTCGCGTTTTGCATAAACTCTCCAAATGCATAGTGGGACGTGCGATTCCGAACACCACTTGCAGCGGCTGAAATACTATGTCCCGACTAAAGTCTGACAATGCACAGTGCTGGACTGCACTCGCACAAACACTGTTTGAAAATCAACTCTACATGACAACCCATTATAGCGCCGGTGGAGAAATACAAACAACAAATAGAAATACCAGTACCTGTTGGAATTGGGATGGAAATAGAGGATTTACAAGTCCCGGACATTCACAAAGACGCAGACTGCCGTTTTGTTCATGTTGCAGAAAGAGAGATTGAGCTTACAACTCAGAGATCTCTCTCTCTCTCTCTCTCTCTCTCTCTCTCTCTCACACACACACACACACACACACACACACACACACACACACACACACACACACACACACGCACGCACACACACACACACACACACACACACACACACACTCGGTCCTATCCCTCTCACTCTGTCTCATGCCTCTCACTCGGCGCCATCCCTTTCACTCACTCGGCTACTTATCCACCATACCTGAATGACAAAATCGATTGGTTCGAGTGCTTTCTCTCCAAGACAATGAGCTAGGTCAGCTAGGATCTTGGTCTTGAGCTCATCCTCCTGCAGACCACACAATACACGTGCACGAATGCACATACAGACACACACACACACGCACACGCACACGCATGCACGCACGCACACACACATGCACGCGTGCATGTACAAAACACACACACACACACACACACACATACACACACCCCTTGGACCTTGGATGCACACACACACACACACACACACACACACACACACACACACACACACACACACACACATCCCCCCCCCCCCCCCCCCTAGTTCCTCGGTCCTTTTTACTTTTTATAAATAATCCTTGGCTCTCCATCCGAGTTCATTCAGTAGTTGTAGTACAGTCAACTTCGCTTACAACAATTTTCGGCGGGGTATCAAAAAATGTCCGGTTATTCACAAAGTGTCGTTATACCCGAAGTCTCATTATATGTATTACAGTTGGAAGGGACTTTGCTCTGGGCATGGACATTCTGTCGTTATTCGCAAATTGTCGTTATATCCGCAGTCGTTATATCCGCAGTCGTTATTAGCCAAGCTGACTGTAGTATTTATTATTTTACTAGGGCAATCCCCACAGACTGTGAGTATTTTTACAGGGTACCCTAGGTAAGTGCGTGAAATAGAGCTAAATGAAGAAAACCGTAAGTGCGTGAAATAGAGTAAAGAAAAACGGTGGCTGCATACTATGCCATTATGTATTGAAAAATAGGCTGCGTAGAATACTGTTCAACATTGCAAATGAGGCTGCCTGGCGGCATGCTGCTGGAAGCGAATTCCACCTGTCACCAGCCAGGTAATGTGATGTCAATTCGATTTGTATTTCGTCTACGAGGACGAATTTACAGCGTGTAGCAACATTGCCGGTCTTGTGTATTGAAAAACGTCCCACCCTCTCTTGTGTGGGAAATATCTGCGTGATCACGTAACTACTACTTCCGGTGCGTGAACAGTGGAGCATATTATAAACTAGTGATGTGTACGGGTAGCCGGTACCCATGCTACCCGTGAGGACCTCGGGTAGACGGGTACAGAATAGCACCCGAAAACCTGAAGTCGCAGACGACATCACGTACAGTGCACGTGTACAAATTCATGTAGTACTCCGCATGTCTACCCAGGGTGTATGGGGAAGGGGTGCATTGTGGTGTTACCATGGAAACATTACCCGATCGGGTACCCGTGCTACCCATGGAAAACTACCCGAACCCGATACCCGAAGGAAAATGCTACCCGCCTCAGCCCTATTATAAACCCAGCGATACAATATTCACAATGGTTCACAATGTTCTTTGATGCACAGGGACCGCAAGTCTCTGGAAGACTCCATGACTAGGCTGCATGCACGTCAACAAGGACGATGAAGCTGTACCTACTCTTCTCCCAGTGCCTTACGTGTACATGCACTGTAAGACCTGTAACTAAAGACCACCGTGACTAGCGACCAACCTGGTACTACAGACCACTTCGCCAGGCATGGACGGTCTCACATTCATATACATGCGTGGCTGACTGGTTGTGCGGTGCAAACCTCTAACTAAGGACCACCTGCGACTAAAGACCACTTTCTCTGGGCCCCAAGGGGTGGTCTTTAGCTACACGTGTTACTGTAAAGTGGAACCTGTCTAAGACGACCGCTCATGGGACCTTCAAAACGTGGTCTCTGTTACTAGGTGGTCTCCTTATCCAGGGTCATTAGACTGGAAAGAGCATCCCTTGATTCTGGTTCCAGTGGTCTTCTAGGACAGGTGGTCGCCTTATCCGAGTGGTCACCTTGACAGCTTTTACTGTAGATGCTACATGACTCTTACCTTGAGCTGTGACTGGTAAACCGCTTGAATACCACCGGCTAGACCGACCAGCGCCGGGTGCAAACCAGCTTCATCTTCTTTGCTAACGTCAAACACAGCGGACAGTGTGTTCTCATTGTGTGTGCTCTGACTTCTAGATTGCGCCATTGGTGAGCAGCCTATGGACACGGAAGGATATCGGAAAAGAGCAAGATTAGAGGCGCGCACATGCACATCTGTGCGTGTGTGTGTGTGTGTGTGTGTGTGTGTCCCATATGGTGCAGTGGTATGTGCAGCGATTTCCAATCGATAGGTTGCGGGTTCGATTCCCGACGATTATGGTCACACACGTCTTTCTTCTCTTTCTAAGACTCTTCCTGACTTTTCTTTCATTCTCCTGGGTGGTTACCAACAGCCAGTGCATGCCGGAGTATGTGGTGTGATGTGTGTGCGGGAAAAAAAAGAAAAAAAAGACCAAAAATAGGGATTCACTGGCCAGAAAAAGTCACTTCAAATAGCTGTATGGTGTAGACCAGGCTGAATAGTGACGGTCAATTCTTCAGCCTTGCAAGCTGTTGAATGGTGCAATCCCAGCACAAGCTGCTATGGCATCTGCCGTAGCATTGCTATCATCGCCTCCGGCGATGGGCGTCAAAGGTCAAAGGTGTGTGTGTGTGTGTGTGTGTATGTGTGTGTGTGTGTGTGTGTGTGCATGTATGTACGTGTGTATTGTGTGTGTACACGTATGTACGTGTGTATTGTGTGCATGTGTGTATGTGTGTGTACGAGGGTGTGTACAGATCAAAAATTAATATGAAGAAGTATCAAACCACATAGCCAAAGGAATGAGTGACACCGGCTTGACAATCATGTTTTCATGCGTACATGCAACATGATCTCTGGAGCAAAGGAGAGGTGGCATGATATTTAGCAACCATACAGAAGGCAGGGAATGTGAACTGTAGTACACGTTGAAACCGGCATGTAACTAAACAGGAATGAGAACCGCACTCGCATGATTAGAACCCTGTCTTGAACAGTGCCCTGTCTCGAATAATACACCTGGCTTGGGAACCAATGAAAAAATTAGGCCCTCTCTTGAATGGGGTCTCGGGCTTGTCGACAAGGGAATGCGTAAGTTTGGTTTCCCAAGTGATCTTGTCCATCTAATCACCCTGTCGGTGTCATGATCGTAATCGCGGTTCTCGTTGCAGTTTCTTTTGAGTCGGGCATCACTTCTATATCAGTATTACACATACCTGCCAAGTACTGAGAGTGCTTTTTCTGGATCGCCATGGCAAAATCGCGGGATTTGCCTTGGTTTTTCGGGATATGTAATATTTTTACCAAAACAATCCTCTCTCAACTTTTGATGGCACCAACATTTTGATAATAGATGATTGATTGATGGTGATCATCGGATCACACTTACACATGTTCAAGACTGAAAAACGGAGGTTTTTCAGAGACTGCTCATGGAAGGAGCACTAGTGGATCCACTGGTACTGCAGGCTATGGCGGTCCGGAATCAATAAGGACAACTACTGGCCTGTGACAAGTCATTTGAAGTGCTCCAAGTACAATATCAAGCTTGTTTCTTGTACAGTGAATTTCGGGATAATCGACAGGAATTTCAGGATCGCGGGAGTTCATCGAAAATTGCGGGATAATCCCGAAAAAATCTGGATACTTGGCAGGTATGGTTACAAGCTGTTACGGAGTAGGCAAGGTACGTTTGGGCCTGGTTTAAATCCGGCTTTGGAAAATTTATTTTTCATTGCTATCAGGTTCGGTCTCATTTTCTCTGTGCTGCGCTGATGAGTCCACAAAGGACGAAACAGCTCTGTCGGCAGATTACAAGTGCTGATAGTTTTGACTCTGTGTATTTTGATTGTATGTTTTGACTTTGTATGCTCCCAGGGCTGGCGCCACTGGTACAGCCGGTACGGCCATGGCCGTACCAACTTCCCAAAAAGTCGGTCCACGTGGAACGTCCAAAACCGGGGAGAAAAAGTTTCAATGTATGATTTTGTACAGGGAGTCGCCCAGAGTGCAGGATTTGCCGTCTAAATTCCAAAAACATTCTGGGGGAGGACCCCCACACCCCCCTTAAAGATGGCCCTTCGGCCGCACCGCTCCGCGGAAGCTGCCTCCGGCCCTGGCTCCACAGCATAAATGTATCAGCATTCGAAAATAGTGCCCTCTCTTAGATAGTGCCACTTCTGTCTCATGAATAAAACTGTGCCTCGGCGGCACTAATCGTACCGGCACAGCAAGCAGTTTCCAAACATGCAAAGTAGAGCATGCAATGGGAGGTACGCATCGAAAATGGCCGTCACCTTTTTGCAGGCCAAAGTGGCCCCATTTTTGGCAGGTACAACCCATTCTAGTACATTTATGGGTATGACCTCACAAAGTTCATGACCTATTTATGCAGAGTTGGTATCAAGGTGTGTACGGTCGTAGGAGACTTGCCCCGCAAAACCTAATGGCGGGAAATTGATGCATACATCCCATTTCCTCAACAACAGCGACATACCAGCAGTTCGTTCTTTTTGATCATCATCGTCCGCCAGCGGGTTGGACATGGCGACGATTTCACCCGACATTCCCGCTTCTCTCCAGAACGCCGTCTGATAGGTGACGATGAACTTGATCAGATGCCCAGGCGACTGCTGCATCGTGAACGTCTTCAGCGACGTCGGAAGATGCGGCGAAAACGTAATGCGATCTGGGGGAAAAACAGACCACCAGTACGACAAACACAACGACACAACAAAGCTTAGCTCATTGCACGAATGCCGGCAAGTATGTGCTGACCCCAGGGAGCTCAGTTTTAATAAGTAAGATAGTTCGGGACAGTTAGGTTGCAATTTTGAAGTTGGGTATATGGATGTGTTTTTGTCGGCACGCACGGCACAAACATCTAAGGAGTCTGAAATTATAATTGTATAATGCCTAATGGCCCTTTCGCTCTTCAGGAAGGGTGAATAACCAATGTTGATTTTTGCAGCAATCCAGAACCAAGAATCAGTGTAATCGAAAGAAGAAGACAAGTTTCCCAGAATGGGATTCGAACCCGCAAACTTCGATAACGACGGAAAAAATTAAGAAAAAAGGTCGTCAAAAGCGGGGTTCGAGCCCACAACCTATGTTTTTGGTCAAAATGGAGACAACTGAATTTGGCCAAGATGAGATAAACTAAAAATGCTGCCCGTCCATCCCATCGGATTGATGCTTCGGTACACGGACAGCTAATATTCAACGGTATATTTGAATACAAGTTACAGGTGTTTGGTTCACGTCAGAACCAAGTGAGACCGCAATGATCAGCCCCACCCCCCTCTCTCTCTCCCACCAGTGCGTACAACTACATAATCCACCTTTTCAGATCTGGAGGCTCGGCTCATTTCGAAGCTTCAAATCGATGGTTGAGAATACTCCACTAACCAATCACCAAAGCGCGTGTCAATTGACGGAATGGTTTCAAAACGCCGATGTGCAAGCACCGTCAAAGATCATAACTTGACTCGTACCTTGCAAATGATACGGGACAGTAATGATGACGCGGCGACACTTGATAGTCCTGCCTGAGGTACACGTGACCTTGACAATCTCATCTGCCTCATTCTAAAAACAACCAACGACACAAATACGGCCAGAGAGGCAACTGAACGATCAGACACAGGTGCATCGGACACGGTACGGTCCCTACGGTATTGAACGCACCATTTTACCCCAGGTACCCGTGAATCAATAAAATACACTGATCTGGGATCTAAAATTCCAAACTTTTCGCCTCAGCCACCCCTCCCCCACGAGTAAATTGTACTTCAGATGGCTGACCGTACCACACTAAAATACCTTCCGACGCCCCTGAGACAACCAACCAAACAGATAGAGAGATAGACAGAGAGGCAGACATAGCGAGCTCCAGCGCTTATACAAAGATTCCGGGTGCAAGTTGCCATGAGCACAACATTCGGGAAATTATATTTCTTTGCTCGGTCATACTCAACGTACTCGTAGATGCAAAAATGTACTGAAAAGATAAACATTCATTGCGACTGTCCAATGCAGTGACAGCATCGCTTCCTCACATTTTCTTCTTCTTTCGCGGGGTTCTATGCCTCGCAAAGGCTGGAGTAACACACCATCAACCTCACTACTGAAGTAGTTTTCAATGCAACGGCCACATTAACAAATATAATTTATGTCGATATGCTGTGCTCTATAGTCATCGTTTTTACATTATACTGTTTTTCTTTTCTTTTTTACTTTGTTCTACTTCGCAAAATCCGAATGGGAATTTCTTCCTAATAACAAGGTAGCGAATACTCATGCATGTCGACCAATAGGAAATGCTTACAGCTAAATTTGTCCTCATTGTGGCCGTATTAAATATCATATACATGATCGGATAAAAATGACCGGAAAGGTGGTGGTAAGCAATGTGCGTGTTGGCGCTGCACGGGAAATTCCGTCATACAATTCGTCGTGTGTTTGACGACTGCATACCTGCTCCACGGCCACCACGGGATCGGCGAGGGAGATACGATCTCTGCCGATCTTGTCCGCCAGCTTCAAGCACAGGTTATGAGAGCAATCCTGCATAGGATGGACATGTAGCATAAAGTAAGTTACACCACAGATAGCGCTGAAATATGAACTGAAATGTTACTTTATTCCCCGTTAGAACCCATGAAGAGAAGGGAAGGAAAACGTTCAGTTCTAAAATTTCCTAGTGTTCTCTTGGACTCGTGTGGATTGTGCAGATGTATGTAGTACATAGAAGAATTCTTATATCTATCAAACTTTTTTATTTATTTT